AGCAGAGCCAGATGAAACCACTTATAGTGCGAAAAAAAAGAAACTTATGAGGCCCTAATACATTTAGATTCGATCCTTGACACTATTAAAAACACTATTAAATTACTATTTTTATACCAAGAACATTAACTATCAAGTAGAATGCGATATTAATAATGTAACCAAATCATTCGTTTGCATAATTAATGTCTAAGTACGAATTTATATGAAAATTATATACTTCGACATTATGGGGGATTTCCAAGAAATTGTCAGGCTTGCGAGTATAAAAGGCCGAGCGAAACCCGCCTAAATCGCAGAACAGTTTTCGAAGTCGAGCGAGCTAGAAGTCTTCAGATAAGTATAACCGGAACAGTTTTCGCTGTCAAGAGCCAAAAAGATTCTTAATGTACTTGATTGGTAAAGCGGGTATACGCCATTGGGATACCTGATCGCTGGGTCGTTCTAGTAGCCAGTGAACAACAGGCTCCCCATTTGAACGGCTTGGTCTCTGAAGCCCGTGTCTTTTGGGTGGCAATTCAGCAATTACGATTTTATAATTAGAGTCAATTTTAATTTGCTACCCTGTTAGACTTATACTGTTCACCCGATTCCGGTATAGTTGGGTCATTCTAGTAGCTAGCAAACACCAGGCTCCCCAATTAAGCGATCTGGTTTTGGCTGTCGGTGTTCGTTTTGACTAAAAGGGTCATGGACAATTAGTTGTCGAGTCAAATTGAAAAAGAGTAACTGTTCCGAGGAAAATTCATTAGGTTCAAACAAATTTTAGAATTTTGAATTAATAAAAGAATATTGTTCTGTCACTAGCGTAATTTCTGTAGTCGACTACACCGCGTTAGATAATAGATAAAATCATTAATCTGTCCAACTTTGCAAAAGCGTATTTAGATACACTTAGAGAATCACACTTAGGTCGAATTCTTCGCTGCGGTAGACTATAACGCGTTAATATTATTAATTCTGTAAAAGCACATTTATATCAATTCAGAAACCGAATAACACTTAGGTAGGATTCATTATAAATTATAAACGTATTAATCAAGTTTAATTTTGTCATTGCGATAGCTTCAGAAAAGAGGATCAAATCATATAGAATATCAAAGGGTATAGCCGGATAAGGCAGTCAAATATGCCCTTATGTAGAATTAGAAACCCAATTCGTATACATTTTATACCGAACGGAAGGTATAAAATGTACATATAACTTCGACGACAGTAATATTTTTTCCACAAGCGAAATGAAAAATTCCAATTTATCCGTATTTTGGTACAACGTTTTATTTTAAAAATTTGCAAAATGTTAATTTTTAACAAATTTTTCAGATAAATAAATTTTTCAAAAATCCACTTACGTCATATTATTGGCCTTCTAAAACAGAAAAATTGGCACTTTGAATTTTTTGTCTAGGCCTAATAGTTCCCGAGATATTTGCGAAAATAGTTTTTTCAACCCCAACTTTAAGGGTTATTTTCACCACTTCAGAGTGGATGTTTGCCGATAAAAAAAATACGTGTGAAATATTTTTACGAGTTCTATAACATATAAAAAATTCATCAAAATCGGCATGTATCAATTGGGTGATGTTTCTTGTTAGTAATCTACAGAAATGAAGCGTTGTGTATTTGTTTTTGAATCATAACTAATACACCACCACTTTAATTATCTTACGAATTCATTTAAAAATTGGTGTATTTATAATTAAGATATTTAATTATAATCTTAACTATTTTTTATCTCTCAGTTCCATTTTATAATATTATAAATAATTAAAAACCGTTTTTATTTTATTAACATCTTAATGTAACTGGATGTGTACTCCATACAAAAGTTAATTATTTTTTAAATTTTTAATAAAAATCATTCTAACATATTTTACTTCTACATTTAGTTTACAATATATATTTTAGTATCAATAAAACTTAATAACGTTAAGCAAGTACATATTGGTCATGCAATAATAAGTAAAAGTTAGCCATCTTCGAATATATGGTATGTATGATCAAAAATAAAAAAAAACCTGGCGAGTTTGCCGTTATAAGTACAAAAACAACTCCGAAAATATTCACGGGATACACTTGCTGCCATTTCCATTTTTAACCGACTTCGAAAAAGGAGGAGGTTACTCAATTCGATCAGTATACTGTTTTTTCTATGTATGTTCACTGATTACGCCTAGCTGGGTGGGCCGATCGGATCGAAATCTTTTGCATCTGGTAGGTTCTGACTCCCCATTGGTATCATTAGCAAAAAATTTTTCATTTTTTAATTGCAAAGTATTGTTATTGCAAGACAACCGGTAACTTTTGAAATAAACTTTTCTCGATTTTAGTGCGCTTTTAATATCTTATCACGGACATGATTCTGAACAATTTTGTTCATATACAAATTTCGCGGAAAGCTTTAGTTTTCAAGATATTAGCGAAAAATTGTTGAAAAGTTTTGAAATCAGCTTTAGACGATTTTAATGTCCTTTTAATATGTTGTCAGAGGCATGATTCTGGACAATCTTTTCCTTATGCATAATTGACGGAAAGCTTTAGTTTTCGAGATATTAGCGAAAAATTGTTATTAACTTTTGAAATCAACTTCGAACGATTTTAATGTCCTTCGA